AACTTTTTAAAACACTAGGTAATTAGCTGTGCCATTACATTAAATTTGTCAGTACTCCAAAGCCCAAATTAGATACATAAGTACACTCAATTTTATGATAAATAGCCAATGGAACTAGGTAGAGATAGGTTGAAGGTGGGCCTTTTAGGGAATAGGTATTATGGTTGACTTCAGTCATTTAGAATGCTATCTTACAAATGAAAATCTTACTCTGCATTGTCATAAAGAGCAGAAATAGTACCAAGTAGTGACAGACATGTGTCAATAGAATTATTTCTTTATACCTTGACTTGTTTCATGAAGAGTTTCAAAAGATATATGATAGATGTAGATTTCACAGAATATACAGTGTAACAAGCAGGAATGGTAGTTAAGTTTTGGGGTCAATCCAGACGTCTAAGAAGTAATGTGAATGAAGAGTATTTTCTGAGGCTCTTGTAGAAAACTAAGCCTCATGATGATAGTTTTAGTGAGTAGTCCACATGCTTCCTTTTAGCCCTAGTAATCTGTGATTCTATGAGGTATGAGATCTACTTTTCTTGTTTTCAGTTTTCTTGTATTTACTCCTTAACCTCTTGTGATCTGGATCTTCTCTATCGGTCAACTTATTTCTCTCACCAAAGTTACTACGTTAGATTGTACAATGGCTCTACTTCTTCACTCACCCTATAGCTACACTCTTTACCATGTGATTTTTCAGTTCCTACAGCTATAAAGGAATGTATTTTCCTGCATTTTGACTTTGGCCATGTGGCTTGCTTTTGCTAATGTGACACTATCAGGCATGACAGAAAAGGTCTTAAAAATTGCTGTGTTATCTTCAGGCTTACCTTCTGGTGCCCCCAATTTTTCTATGAGAATGACATTTCTGGGCTAGCCTGCTGGTTCCAGGAGGAAGTTGAAAGACCAGCTTTCAATTCTGAAAAATCAGGCTCCCAACAGATATGAACCAATTCCTACAAGTAGGAGTTTCTCAGTAAGTTTGCCTAGGTGTACCTGCTGGAAAGTAAAAAAGAAAAAGAAGAAAAAAAAGTGCTTTTCCTTCTTTGATTAGCTATGTGTGTTTCTTTTGTTGAGTGTGATTGTCATAAAATAATGAAAGAAAAGATGTAGTAATTGGAGCCCCCAAAGACTCAATTTCTGAGGCCAGAAGAGCTGTCATTATAATCTCACTAAGATTGAAATGAGGTAGAGGTTATTCCCAAGAAGAAATCAGAGTGTAGATAGGAAGGGAAAATTGATGCTGGGTTGTCCCAAACAGATAAATGATTATTAGCCCTGTCTATATTTTCCTTACATTACTTAAAAACAGTTTAGTATCTCTACATGTTTCTCAGGACAAATTCCATATTCCCTAACATGACAGGTGAAACTTTTTCTGAGTTCTGCTTGTGTCCTTGACCTCATAGAACACTGTGTCATCAAAATCAACATGACACACAGACTACTTGCAGATTATTCTCCTAACAGGTCATGCCTTCATCTGGGGCAGGAACCTGGGTTCCTCCCACCTTCCAGGACTGCTCCCAGCTTTGTCTAGCTAAATTGGTCTAGTCTTTCGTAATTTGCTTTAAATTTATCTCTTCCAAATACTGAAGCTATAGTCTGTCTCCCATGTGTCCATATAGGCCTCTGTGCTTGCTTCTAACTTAGGACTTATCACACTTACTTTTAGTTGTCCTTTAAAGAAGCCAGACTGATTCCCATTCACCTTTGAATCCCCAGTGGCTCACACAGTAGCTGACACATAATAGGCACTCAATAAATTTGTGGAAAGTTGAAAAATATATTTCTTATTTCATCAGTAGATTATTTGCAAGCATTATTACAATGATAGTAACATTTACCACATGGCAAAGATGTGAGGTAGTAAAGCTTTGAATTAATGAAATCCACCCACTCTGGCCTCATAAATCACACTGCAACATCGTGTTCCAGATTCCACAGGTGCAATGCTTACATTTAATTGCACTGATCAAACTCTCCTTATGCTGAATTCCTGTATATATCATCCTCTGGGTAGGATCAACTGTGCAGTTTCAAATCCATTTGTTTCAAAATCCCAGGAGGACTCTGTGTTCTTGTGTGACTTTGTGTTACTTCCTGATGACTCATGGAGTGTAAGAGCAATGAAAGTAGATGCTGCGTAAATAGATTCTCCTGGGGAGAAAATTCCTCTTTAAATCAATTTAATTTTCCACATTTTTTGAAATGTGAGCTAAACATGTTACATCTTTGTTTTAAGGAGCTCAAGTCTCTTTGAAAATATTTGGTCCCTTAGTCTTAAAGCATTCTTAAAACCTAATATGATTGGCTTTGGCTTCCATATTTGATAATTCCTTATAGCTTGGAAGAAATATCAAAGGCTAAAATCCATTTGTTCTGCTTTCATAGACAACTCAGTAGTATAGTAGGAAAATAATAATAAACTCAAATATATACCAATAAGTTGGATTTCTATATAGCATATTATAGCTATAGAACTGAAAATTCTTTCCCATATACTATATTATTGTATTTATTTAGTAAACATAACATAAATGTAGAAATAAAGTAGCTGGGGACATAAAGGCATAAAAGAATACAATACTCTGTTCAGTCAGGCCTCCAGGCTTTTTCTCTTGTTTATGCTCTCCGAAACATGTTGTCCCACCCACATTAAAAATGTTGGCTCATAATCATTTGAATATTACAATGGGTATACTGGCAAATTCCTCTCAATTTTCCTCTGGCTAGTATGCTTTAGAATAAGAATGGCTCCCAATTGACCAATGCTATGTTTTGAATACACACTATAATGAATCAATTTACAGAAGCAAATATTGGCTTCCGTTACTGATTTGATTTTCTGAAACCTACAAAATAAAGGCCAGAATTTATTAGCTTGGCTTTCTAAATCCCTGTCATCAGATCCTCTAAGCATTCTCTATTCTATGCTCTAATCACTTTACCATGTATATTCATTGAATATTAGTCCTTTGAAATATTCTGGGAAGGAGGTGGATTCCATAGTAAAATGAGTTTATTGACAACTGAAGATTTACAATGCAAATAAGCAAATTTATAGCTCTGAAGAGTCTTTTATTAATGAAACTGGCTCCATTTTGTTTAACCCAGTGTTTTCAAGGCTTAATTGGTTGTAGGTTCCTTTTCAAACATTTTTTGTTTGTTTTACTTCCAAAGGGAAGAGTTGTATTTCATAAAATGTGTTCTGGAAAACCTTGCTCTAGCCACACTAAACTGTTCAGCTGCAGTTTCCTATGGCTGCCCATACTCTTCCTCTGGAACACTACATCTGTCATTTTCAAATATCTTTCAAAGCCAAGTGTAGGTATTGTCCATCCTCTTTTGTGATCTTCCCATGCACGTATGTCCTCTCCCACTTCTGAATTCCAATTATATTTTAGTGATACCACTCCTATGGCACTGCTCATTTTCTATATTGAATAAGGGTTAAAGCCAGTTTAATCACTTTTACTGGACTTGGGGATTCTTGAGGTCAGAGCCCAGTTTTACTCATTGTTCTATCATATATAGTACAGATAATACATCTATCATCTATATACTCATTCTAGAACATTAATACTTTTTGAGCAAACAAAACAACAAAGGAATAAATGAATAATGAACTTTTAATACATTATTAATCAAAGGTCACTTTTAGTGTTGTGGCTGAGTTCAACTTTGTAAAAAAATAATTTTGTTGAAAATATGCCAAATGATGAAAAATATGATTTAATGACATTAATATTTTACAGAAGAATCTGCTATCCAAGAGCAGCCTTGATTTTCCATTTCAAGCCTACTATTATTGCATGTGTTTGGCATGGATATGAAGCTTCAAAAACAAAATACATTAGTCTCATTTTCAGTGGTCTCTCATAATAGGCTACTTCTACTTAGATCTTTGTCTTCAAAAGGAAATGTCTATGCCAAAAAATCATATCTCCCCATCTAATGAATGCATTGTCTATTCTTGCCTCCATGATGTCATCCAAGCTATATCCTTGCCTTAGATTGCTCTTCATTCTCCCAAACACTTACCTGTACCTACTCTTTCAAGACCTAATTCCAGTTACAAGTTCACAATGAAACCTTGATAACTCTAGTCTTTTCACTTCCTTTGACAAATACCATAACAAGTCTCATATTATAGATTGGTTACCTTTTGTGTGCCTTTCCCCACTGGGCCTCAAACAACTTGAGGGGAGGAACAATTTATTTTTCCCTTTTGTTGGGTTAGAGAACAACAATAATATTAATAGAGAGCATTTAGTGAGCATTTCTGTCTCAATCACTGCTTTTGCACTTTGCACAGATTGACCTAGTAAATCCTCACTAATCTGAGGCACAGAGAAGTTAAGTATTTTGTCCAAAGTAACAGAGCTAGTTCATGATTTGAACTCAGATTCTTAATCACTAACTCATTAGTTAAAATAGGTGATTTTCATCTTTCCAGGCATTATAAATTGTGTAAACCCATCCATTTATTCCATGAATTACATTTATGAAACTTCTATGTTCTCACATACCATTTTTTAAAATACTGCAAAAGAGAAGAATTTCATTTTAATTGGAAGTGAAATAAATACACCAGAGGCTTGAAATCCAAGATAGTTATAATACCTAATTCCTTTTTTAGTCACATGAAATAAGTTTACATATGAGCTCAGATATATGAAATACATAATACAAAGATGATGATTTTAAAATAAAACTCTGCATGTATACTTTCAGAAAACTCACTAAACTTTGATAACTTACAGAAAACAGCAGGCTTTTCAAAAATCCTGGAGAAAGTAATGTGGTTTAGATTTAAAAAGAGGAACATGGCAGATTTCAGATAAACTGGAAATCACTAAATGTTATTAAGCTTATATTAATCAATAGCAAATCTGCCTTAGATATTTAAGCAGAAATTTTGAGTTGTGGAATAAACAAATATGTTAATCAAGGAGATGTTGAGCGTTTAATTCCCTCTATTTTCAGGGATTATTTGACAGGGTTTCTAGCTTCAGTAAGATTGGGTTTTGCTGACCTCACAGCTGAAGTTGGTAGCACCTGCAACAGATTTCAGAAGTTTAGTAGGCAACATTGCTCTTGGCAAAGTTCTGAAAATATAGAAATATTTGGAATAAAGATAACACCAGGCAATGTTAATTATCATTCCTACAGTTGGTTAGACAAACACTTACAAAAAGTATTGATAAATTATTGATTTTCCTTATGACACCAGAACTGTAAGAGTAATTGCCTGTATCTGAGTGGTCAGGGATTTCTCCTCTAGTACCTTCCTAGCTGGGGGTTACTATATTCTCAGGGCCCTTCTCTGGCTTTTCACTCTGTGTTTCTGATAACTGGTTGTTTGTTAAAGAATCCCACTAAAATGCTAATGTTGTATAATGTCTTAATGTGTCACCTCTCTCCAAAGTACTTACGTGTAAAGGCTGAACTAGCTAAGGACTAATTGCCCTGGTCCTAAATGACTAATCATTTTGTAGAAATGCAGTCATCAGAGTAGGCCAAAAAAGGATAGAATTTTGGTCTTAGAATGAGTATGAGTATTTTGGCCAAATTTATGAGGCTGTGTGTGTGTGTGTGTGTGTGTGTGTGTCTGTGTGTAATAGTCCCAGAATTCCCTTTGGCACTCTTTATCTTTTAGTGCTCTCTGCACCTCTTTTGCAAAATTTGCCTTCTGGAAAGACTCCAATGCCAGTCGTTTATAGCTTAATGTTAATTTAAGCACCAGTATTTCTCTCAAGTGGTTTCTGAATTTTAAATCTAGTTTAAAAACAAGACGTTCTGACCATAGTAAAAGATGTGTTAGTCACTCTAATGTAGGGTAGGTAGAAGGAATTCAAATTCTGGATCTCCAAAATATCATCTTTACTGGGTTGAATATTATTCCCAAATAATTCCCAAATATCACTCTCCAAATTCTTGTCTACTAGAACCTGTGAGTGTACTTATTTGGAAGTAGGATCTTTGTAGATATAATCAAGATGAGATCATACTGGATTAGGGTGGACTCTAATCCAGTGATGGGTGTCCTTATAAGAAGAAGGTAATTGGACACAGAAAAACAGAGAAGAAAGATGCCCCGTTAAGACAGAGGCAGAGATTAGAGTTGTGGCTAAAAGCCAAGGAATGCCAAGAATTGCTGGCAATAACTGAAAGCTAGGAAAAGGCAAGGAAGGCTCTTCTCCTAGAGTCTGTAGAGAGAACACGGCCCTGCCAACACCTTAATTTCAGACTTCTGGCCTCCAGAAGTGTGAGAAAACAAATTTCTGTTCCTTTAAGCACATAGTTTGTAGTAATTTGTTACATCAGCCCTAGGAAACTAATAGATCATCCACAAAACCTGTTGATAAGATGAAGTTGAATTTATGGCACACTGCAGTAAGGAAGAATACTGTCTCCTATGTCTACAGAGGGAGTTTTAGTATCATCTTTGAGAGGGCAGGAGAATGTCCTCAGGATGTTTGTTGCCATTTTGAAGGTGGGCCTTTCAGTGGGTGGTCTCCATTAGCACTGGGTAAGGATCATGATATAATCATTTAGGATTGGTCAACAGCAAGGTGAGAAAGTTGAAGCAAGGGGTCAAAGAATCTTGGAGTATGAACTGTCATTTGGGTTTTCTAATGAAGAGTTGATAGGTCATTCAGGAAGTACCTAGAATGAACAATAGAGTTATTTGCAATTATTACCTTCCTGGGCAAGAGTTTCCTAGAATAGTAAATTATAGTGACAAAGACCAGAGAATAGTACAATCATGTTTATATAGATGTAGACATTCATCTATGTGAGTATGAAGGGTCTCCCTTCTTACATACCAAATATCAGAGCATATAATCGGTGACCTACTCTAACCATCTCAATAAGCTGTTGCTGGAAGGGGTCTGCTGTCCTGCAAGCCATGACTTCATTAACTTTCATATTAATGTTAGCAGCTCGGTAGATCATGCCTCGACTGGCCAATTTTTAAGTACAAATTCACAAAGGATGGAGAAGGATATTTCTGAGTACTTTTAACTTGTCTGCTATAAAGGGAAAGTATTTCTAAAGATCCAGTTTGAATTTTATCACCTTTAGAGTGTGACCAAGGTAGAAATACTTTTTTCCTCTTCTGTGTCTTTGGTACTCCTGTGCATCCTCTCTGTAGAGAGTATGTATTAGTTAAAGTTGGCTAACTGCTGTACAAACAACACTCAAATATCAACAGTTTTAGATAATAGATACTTCTTACTCAGGTAAGCATTTAGCATGGGTATTAGGCAGATAGCTTGGTGAGCAGAGTTTCTGGGTTTCACAATCTTGTGGTTCTGCCATTCTTGAAGTTTTTAGAGTCATCTTCATTTCTCAGGCAGGTGAGGAAATGAGAGGAAATATCACCTGTGGATGGTTTCTACGGTCTAGTCTTGAAGTGTTAAACATCATTTCTTTCCATATTTCTCTGGCAAGAACTCAGTTACCTGACCACAACCACATTTAAATGCAAGGGAGGTTGGGAAATGTACTCTAGTTAGTTTCCCAGAAGGAAAATGAAATAGGCATTTGTGCACACACAGCAGTCCATGTTGCATAGAACTTTTTACGTGATATTATTATTAAAATCCTATTTATTTGATGATCTCTCCCACTGTTCTGTGAACTCTTTGAAAGTGAGGACTATAATTTATAGTCAATTATATTTGTGTGTGTGTGTATATATATATATGTATATATACTATATATATATATTGAAATATATATATATAACATATATATATTTCAATTTATACTACATCATCTGAGCCTAGCAGCAAAGTACCCAGTATAAAGTAATGGGTGCCTAAAAAACATTTATTGAATGATTAATTATAGTAGCATCTAGATTGAAAACTATTATTTGATATTTTTAGGTTACAGAGGATTTACCTAATGTATTTTCAAAATTCTTATGGACTAAAATTCATTAAGATATAACTTACTTTATGAGTATGCAGTTCACCTATCCAATACATTTTAAAAACCAAATTAAAGACTCTTTCTTCCATGCTATCACACTGCTATTATTTGAGCTGGATCTGCATGCATGCTGTTACTATAGGATTAATTTCCTCACTTAAGTTTTACTGGAAACTGTTTTACTGACTACTATTAAGAGCAGCATCCCTTTCTACTTGCTCCATTAAGCAAAACAACCATTGCTTTTAGCACTTTCCTTATGGTTCTTGCTACATTATGTTTTTTCAAAAGGTTCATTCCAGTAAGACTGAGGTTTGCTCAAATGTTCACTTTAAATAAGTGGTTTTGATCCATAAATACTGTCTAAGAATATTTATGTTGGAAAACATTCCATATTTGAGGAAATCTCTATTATATCTGAGTAGGAATCTGTTTCTAATGAATCTTCAGATATTAAAAAATTACCAAAGTAGTATATATTTGTTCTTGGTTGCTCAATATTACAATAAATAAACATGGTTTTCCTAATAATTTTCAATAAGCACTTATTCTACACCTAATCTACTTTAATGCCGGGATATAAAGAAAAGGAAGGGAAGAAAATTCCAAAGAGTTAGGAGACCAAGTCTTTGAACTTTGATATTTCTGGATTTAACTTTGAGCTTTGCCACAAGAGATGTGTGATCTTCAAACCTAAATGTCCCTGAGCCTTGGTTCCCTTTTCTGCAAAATGGGAGTAAAAATGGTACCTGTTCCACTGTCTGAATATAAGCCTTAAAAGTTAATGGTGTAATGCATGTGAACACATATTTCACATCAAGCAGCACTCAATAAATGGTAGCTTAAAAAGTTTTTATAAGTAAATGTATTATTGAGCTCCTACTGTGACCTGGATAATATGCTAAATATGTCATATTAGTAATTGTTAATTTCCTTTGTTTTCTCAATAAAGTTGAAATGATAAGAATAGAGAGGAAACTGAGATTCTAGCAAGTAGTGGTTTTAGGGTCTAGATACATCACACTGCAGCTGCTGCTGTCCTTGCTTCTAAAGCCTTACAACCCAATTGGGGAGAAAAACAAACTAGCAAACATTTGGTTGGATAATAAATTCAGTGGCATCATAGCTAACAATTGAGTTCTTTCTATGTGACAGTCATTTGAAAAAAATGTTTTACATACACTAAGATAAATCCTATCACTATCCTATTTACAGATGAGGAAACGAAGGCAAAGAAAATTTGAGTAATTTTCCCAGATTCATGCAACTAATCAGTATCCTTAAAAATCCCAAAGCTGGAATTTGAACCTGGGAAGTATGGTTTAAAATACTGTGTGCTAACCATGAAGACATATAACCTCTACAACACAGATATGTAATAATGTAAGGTGTATTGTGTGTAACTTCAAAAAGATGGAGCAGTCAATATATGTAACAGTAATTTAAGTGAGGACTAGAGGCAGGACTTGTGCTAGCCCTTTAAAGCAGGAGAAAAAAATAGATAAACAGAAAATATCAAGATGAGCAGTGGACTAACATAATCAAATAATAGGTTTGCAACATAAACAGTTTCATAACAGAACTGTGCCATTTGTATGTCTAGACACTGAAACAGCAACCTGGACAGACAGAATTGTTGAGAAAAGCCTCCCTAAAGCCTTCAAGTTGGAAGTGGAATTGAGCAGGGAGATAGTGAATGAAAAAATAGAGGATTGACAGGTAGTGTTGGCTCAAATCTATTACTTTTCTTGAAATCCTTTGAAAGGGCATCATTAAGTGACAAGCTCATTGAACTTCACATGAGAATTCACAGGATTAACAAAAATGAATTCATATCAAAAAGTGTATTGGAAGAGGCCAAAGACATCTGATAATGAAAATGGCAGTGCACCTTAACATACTTAAGGTTTTGGAATGGTTGTGCAAAGTTATGAAGCCAGTTTATTAGTCCAGTGACTGTTTTATGTCCTGAGAAGTTGAGTGGATAGTTGATTTTCATTTTTAATTTTAATTCTGTTTGTCTTTAGGACTCCACTGAAGCTCTGTTTTCTATCTCCACTTAGTTCCTATTTTAGAAAGACATTCACCACAGCTGTAGTTACCTAAGCAGTGTTCTCTGGTAGAATGATTTCCCGGTGGAAGTATCAGATCTGAGTGTTAGGCTCGGGTTGCATCTACTTTCTGATGTATTCCTGCTCTTTTCTCTGTCCATAGATTTTTTTTTCTGGTTGGTCTCCGGTCATCATTCTCTTGAGTAATGAGTTAATTTCTTTAGATTCCTACAGCCAAAATGTTAACCAATGAAATAAATTCAATTTTTGAGAAATTAAAAACTAAGCAGGCTTGTCATCTCTATTTCAGATGGTCTTTAGTCTATTTCAGTAAAGGGTCAAGCATTTTAAGGCATGATAAAAATAATCAATGCTGTCACTATGACCATTATCATCATGACACCATGGATAGCATTGTCATCACTATCACTGTCTAGGTTCGCTCAGGCTGCTATAACAAAATACTATAGAGTAAATGGCTTAAAAAACAGACATTGAGTTCTTACAGTTTTGGAGGATGAGAAGTTTGAGATGAAGGTGCTGGCATATTTGGTGTCTGGTGAGGGCTCAGTTCCTGACATGCAGATGACTGCCTTCTTGCTGTGTCTTCATATGGTAAAGAGAGAAGAGGCTCTGGAATCTTTCTCTTGTCATAAGGACACTAATCCCATCATATGGCTTCTCTCTCATGACTTCTAAACCTAATTACCTCCCAAAGGCCACCTCCTAATACCATCACACTGGGGATTAGGGCTTCAACATATGAGTGTAGGGGAGGACACATTCAGTCTATAACACTCACCATCACCAGCACTACCATCATTGTCATTGTTATCACTATCACCATTATCACTACTCAGGCTCACTAACTGAAGTTGCAGTCATGCCAGAATCTTCACAGCTGTTTGTTTTTATCATAGCCTCATTATGAGAAAAAGTATAATCATTCCCACTTACCAGGTGTGGAACTGAGGCTTAGGATACTCATATAAAGTCATATTTTCTGTTTGTGGAGGAGAACTAGTTTTTTTTTTGTTTTCTATTTTACTAAGGTTTGACTTTCTGAATCTTGTTTTCCCTCTCTACTCTGCATTTTAGTCTCTTTCACCAGCTTAGAAACCTGGTCTGTATCCTAAGGAAGACTATTTCCTATAGCTAGAAATTAAGCTAACTCAGAGTTTCTTAATGTCTGCATTTTTGACATCTTGGGCTGGATAATTCTGTTGGGTTCAGGGAGAGGGGTGTTGTCCTGTGTTTTGTAGGATGTTTAGCAGCATCCCTACCTTCTACCCACCTGATGCTGGTGGTGCCCCCCTCAGTCATGATAATAACAAAGCCTCTAGACATTGCCACATGTCTCCTGGGGGGAAAAATCATCCAGCTTGAGAACTACTGAACTACCTTCTTGGAAAATCTTAGCTTCTTAGGAATAGCAAAGTTTTTTGTTTTCCCCCCAGGGGAATTATCAAATAACTGATTTCATAATAGTGTAAAATTTAGGCATTTCCACAGACAAAATGGAAGGTAATTTTAGGTGTAGGGTTGGGTATAAGAGGTTCTTCTTGATGCTCTTGAAATCATATGTATTTTATTCTGAGCAGTCACAGGTAACTGTCGATGCAGATATTAATATGCAAAAGAAGTGAGAAATTAAACACAATGGTACCAACTATTATAATGTTGGTTATTATGGACTTCTCCCATATACTCAAAATGTTATGGAAATTGATATATCTCATTTAACTCATTCAATTTTGAGAACTGCTTTAGATAATTAAAGGTGAATAAAATTGTAGTATGGAACATTTACAGAATGATATCACACAGTAAAAAAATAATCACTTATCCATAAAACTATTGTTTGTATTTTGGCACATTTCTTTTTAAGGAAGGGTATTATTTTTTCTTTTGGTGATGATCAAATGGGTTTTCTCACAGGGCTGTTAAAATTCTCATTTAGTGTTTGCCATATTGACTAGTATATAGTGTGGACTCCATTTGTTTTGCTTACTATGTTCATTTTTACTATTATATTTGTAAGTAAGAATTTTATGAAAACCTTGCATCATGTGAATGTATTATAAGTTAACTTTCCTCTTATTTTGTGGCATTTAGATTATTTCAAAAACTGATGAATCTTTTTAAACCCCAAGTGTACTACTGAATAAAGTTTATAAAGCAATGACTGCTTTATGGATACTCCCACACTAAAAGGGGGAGAGAGCTTTTTCAAGGCCAGGCAATTAATCAGTGAAACAATATCTTCTTGTATTGCCATCTGTCCACTCTTCTGCCAATGTGACTTCATGGCAAAAGTGAGCACAGAGAGAAAGGTTTTTGTTGATTAATTTGCGTAGGATATGTTGTGCATTCAAATCTTCCTATTGAAAGCAAAAGATTAACTTTAAAATATTTGGACATTTTATGCATTTTTTTGGTTGAACTGTAGCAATCATAGGTAAACAAATAAAATGGCTGTTGCCAGGTAAATTTTACACTATGTGGAAAATAAAAAGAGCTCCAGGAGTTTACTCACTTTAGAACTCAGTCAACATCTTGGACATTGAGATGTGAAATAATTTCCCCAAACCAGCAGTTTCTCAGTTCAGAATTTCTTAGGCAAATAGCCGCATTTCTGGAACATTAATGAGAAAAACCTAAGTTGATGACAAATATTTGCTTTAAATTGGACTTTAAGGTAATTTAGCACTAGAAATGAAGAGAATAAGAAGCCATTCATTGTGGTGGAGTGGTTCTGCCCTGGGTATCAGGAAATTTGGTTTTTTTGACAACCTCTGTAGCAAACTGACTCTGTGTAACATCAGTCAAGTCACTGTCTTGACCTCTTTTTCCTCCTCTTTAACAATGAGAGTGGAATTAGATCACTTTTAAGTCCTCTTACCATCATTTCCTTTTAATTTTAAATTTCATTTAACTAGTATATTTAATTCCTTGTATATAGATTGATAGAACTAGGTTATTAGTATGCAGTATATTGAATGCAAGAAAAGAGATCAGAGAAAAGCCCCCAGTAAAGATCACTCAGCTTTTAAAGTGAGATTTGAGTGAGTCAAAGGATTTCAATCTATGAGACTAAAAGAAAAGACTAGGTAGCAATGGTGGTCTACTTTGAGGCAGGGACACCAAATGCAAAAGTTATTTAATACAGAAACTATAAAGAATATCTACTGGGCAACTGGAGAAACCCTATGGTGTGAAGTCTCAAAATCTTCTTCCCACATGTATTGTCAGTTGGATCAGTTCAAAGAATGGAAAAGCAGAAGCTAATGAGGCCACATTCTATCTGTTCCTCAGTCTGTGTTTCATAGCTTCTCAGAGAGCACACTCTGCTTATAATCACATACCCATATTGTTAACCTTAATCAGAGTATTGTGAATATATAATATATAATTGTGAATATATAATATGCATGATATATATCATATCCTCACAGATATAAAATACATGTTCAGTCCAACTGTTATCATACACAAATATAGCAAAAAATGTACTTTCATTCATTTATACATTAAAATATCTATTGATATCTGTTCTTTGCCAGACATTTTGCTGGATACTGAGGATGTCATAATGAAATCATATTTTTGTCTAATAAGTCCCTCCCTGCCTTCATGGATTTGGGATTCTAGTGAGGGAAGTAAATAATCAATTAATTAAACAAATGAATGCTGAATTGCAAGCCTGAAAAATGTTTCAAGTAATATGTTATTGTGAAAACACAAAACAAGAAAATGAGAGCAGCTTTCAATTCTTCATGTGAACCAAAGCAGAGGAACATCCTCAGAGATCTGGATGATTCCAGTGCTTTGTGAGATCCTCCCCCTTTCCTCCACTCACTCCTCAGAGATTATTGTTGTAGGGAAGGTATACTACAGGCATGTATAATCCACTGACACTTTCTACATGATTTAATATAGCACTTTATTCTTTGGGATTCCCAGCAAATCAAAGCAATACAAAATGATGAGATCTGCAATATGGACTCTTAAACCAGCTTATGTTTCATCTCACCATACAGTGGATAATTTTTAATTTGACCCCTAATTTAAAGGCAGGAACATGTATAGCTGAGTCAGTCTGTGACACATGAGGACTGAATCTCATATTTGATCTACTTTAGGCTTATTTTTCTGTCTTCTGTCCTTCAGAGAATCAAGGGAAATTCTATAGGTTTGCTACCTGATTCATTCATTTATTTCACCAATATTTATTAAATGCTTGCTTTTGCTAGATATCAAGAGATCTAACATTGTAAAGCAGCATATTGTACTTATCTTCAAGGAACTTAATTTCAAAATACTTTGAGGGTGTGATGGTAAATCTTTTCAGTGGTTAAAATAAACTGAGATATTTAGCCAACATGGTGATGATTTTTTGATAGGCTAATTTGCCTATAAGATTATTGGTATGATGCAGAACATTGTTAATCATCAATTCCCCCAACTCTGAAGACATTCACAAAACTAATTAGCAATTGAATTTTCAAATTTGATTAAAAATAATACAAAGACAGGAAAACTAACCTGTCAATTTTTATTAAATGAATTCTCTCCTATTTCCCGAATAGTTTAGTTTCTTTGCACTCAACTCCTGTTAGTATTTCTGGTCAGGATATTAAATTCTTACTTACCAGTGTTCTCACACATCACTGCATTAAGACTGCTGTAAAAGGTAGTTAACATTGGAATTGTGCACTAAAGTCTTAGTTTTAGACCAGACTTAATCTGTCAATAACAGTAACAATAGCAAAGATATCAATAATCATTATAATATGTATTATTAATTGACTATATGTCGAAGATGCTATAATCCTTTATTTTTCAGTGTGTTTTTTAATCTCCACAAGAAGTAACAGAGGAAGCTTAATTACTCAATATCATGCAGCTTCTAACTTGTACATCTAGAGTCAAACTAAACTCAAATTTTGAAATCCATTCTAATTGCATGAAGTATGCCAAGACTACCAACAGGTAGGGACATTGAGAAGGGCTCCAGCCTCACAGGGGCATTGGAAAAGTGAGTACTGCCAATCCTGCCGTCACTGCCTTGCATTTTGCTGCCTTTCCTGAGGGATGAAGAAAATTTTGCCCAAACATTTAGAAGCATCCTTCTAGTCAGCGTCCAAACATATACTATTGGTGGTAAGATAACTGATAAAGAAGTACAAATTTGACTACTTTAAAAATGTTTTCTAGAGGAGGAACATTATCACCTTCATTGTTTTCAAACCGTATCCCCTGTAGTTTAAATACATTATCTAAGTACTCTTTAAAAATGTTATTCTATTTTTTGTATTGTTTATTATAAATCATACATTCCAAAAGTACAAAATTGTGTGCTATGGAAGGTAAGTCTCTTCCTACATTTGGTGGTCATTTATCCAATTCTCCTCACTAGAGGCAAAACAGGGTGGCCAGTTTATATGTATTTATTTAAAGATATTCTATGAATAAGTGAGTCTATATAGGTATGTGGAAGTTTATTTTTTCACCAACGATATATGATGAATATTAGTCCATATTTATATATCTATATCTCATATATGTCTACATTTAACTCATACTTTAATATCTTCCCTGCATTCCCTTGTAGGTGTATGCAGTAATTCATTTAACCCATCTTCCATTGATAGGCATTGTTTCCACTCTTTTTATGCCCTTAGCAATGCTGGAATAAATATTTTTTCACATGCTTGTTTTTGCATATATAGGAGTACATTCGTAGGAAAAATTTTCAGAAATCACTGGATAAAAAGATATGTACATTTTAATATGAGATAGTTATTGCCAAATTTTATACTCCAACAAATTATGAGTGCTTTCTTCTCACTCTAACCAAAACTTTACTTTTTTGTTTAAAAATAATTTTAAACTTATAGATAAGTTGCAAATGTAAAAATGATACAAAGATATTTATATACTCTCCCCAGATATACTTATTATTAACGAGTTACCTAAATTTTCTTATTTTGTTTATCATTCTCTCTTTCTGCATGTGTGTATCTGTATTTATACACACACATATTTATATGTGAGTACACAATTTTAAGTATGTGTATACACACATAATTTTAAGGGTAAGTTACATAAATCATAGTCCTTTATTTCTAATACTTTGGTGTTTACTTCATAAGAATATTGATATTCTTTTATATTGCCATAGAGTTGACTTCATTGATACAGCTAACCAAAACTTTGAATAGGTAAAAAATTTTACCTCAAATTATTTTAATTGCATTTCTTAAATGACTTACTCTGAGCAGTGGTTGATATGTTACAGCAAACAGGACCGGGAAACAAACCTAGAGCCACACGAAAGTGTTGCAAAACAGGCTTTTATTATGCCAGCAGGCTCAGAGGAAACTCACCACCAAATTTTGAGCAATTGGAGTTAAAATTATGTTGGTTTATATATGCTTGTGAGAAGGAAGCTGATGGTTACAGAAGCAAAAGAATGGTTATGAGGCTTGTAAAAGATAGTTGCAAGGCTTGCATAAAGTTGAGATTACAAAGTTTGAGATTGTCTAGCTTGAATAAGATTGCAGTTTGATCAAATGTTATTAATTCCATAGTTGCTTAACCATATCATTTTGCTGTATAAGCTTTGCAGTTGTGCTATTATTAGGGAGTGTGGAAGATTTCCCTTACAGATATGCTTAAATTTGTATTTCTTTTGTTTTCTGTGAGTTTCATATTCGTATCCTTTACCCCCCTTTTCTCTTGATTTGCAAATGTTCTCGATATATCATAAAAATTTTCTCTTCATTCTAGTGTGGTAAATATTTTATTTCACTTTGTAATTTGTTTTGATTGAGTTTATTATGTTCTTTGTAGAAGCTTTTAATTTTCATAAGTCAAATTTATCAGTCATTTTAATACTTTCTATGTGTTATGTTTTAAAGCATTTCTTACTATGAGGTTATAATTTAAATATTCCCATATATTTTCTTTATCCTTTATGATTTCATTTTATATATTTAAATATTGGAGACATCTGGACATTATTTGGGAAGCAGAGGCAACATAAGAATCCAAGTTTATTTTTTCCAGATGGCTGCACAATTGTTTCAACACTAGTTTTTTAAAAATGTTCATTTGACTCATAGATGTGAAATGCTACATTTACCATATCTACTGTATTCCTATGGGTATTTGGGTCTATTTCTGGACATTCACTTATCCTATGTATCTACCTTTGTTCGTATGCTAATTACAAACATTTTTATGACTGTCTTCATGCCATGTTTTAATTTTTAGTGAAGCAAGTGTTCTCTGATCACTCTTCAGAATTTCTTGATTCTTTATGGAAATTTATTTCTTTGTGTATATAAGCTTTAACATTATCTATTTCCAATGTTAACTCTACTATTTGATTAGAATTATAAGCAAAAACTTGAAAATTATTTTAGGGAAAATTAACATTTTTATAATTATTTTTCCATTACTTTTCTTTCCATTTTCTTATTCTTTATTTTTTTTAAATTTTTTTTTATTTTTTCCTAACCACTAGACAATGTGGGATCTTATTCTTTCTTTATGCTCTTTAAAGGTACTTTATTTTATGTTATATTACTAATATAATATTTATTCATTTATCTACATGTTCTTTTTATCTTTGACACATTTTCTATTCTCCTTTGTGATCATATTATCAGCATGCTTAATCTCACCCTTTAAGATATGTAATTTTAATAATGTATACATGTCTTTATTTTTTCTATTGTGATACACACACATAAATACCGATACAATTTTTTCTTTTGATTAATGTTAAATGATAATCATTTACATAATAGATTTACAGAAGCAAAGCCATGTTATCAGTTACTTTTCTGTATATTTCTTTTCTCAGCCTTCAGAACATTTTGGAAATCCCTAACTGTCATCTGCCATAGTTTAAAATTATTCTTTTTAATAGCTGTGTAATATGGCATGATGTGGGACACAACAGTCAAGCTAGTGATTCCTCTTAGGATGGGCAGCCTCTTTGTTTTTCAGTTCTTGGGCACTGTAAACAAGTCTGAATAAACATCCTTAGCCATATGCTCTTACTGTCTATGAGTACTTTTCTTTCCATGGGGTAGATTACCATGAGAGTTATTTTTAGATAGATATTACCAAATTGTCTTCCAAAAACAATATAGCACTTCACACAGTTCTGATAACAGTACCTGAAATTCTTTCCCATCAGAAAGAGCTCTAGACACTAGAATTTAGAATTTAGATACCATATGATTGTCACTTAAATCTGCATTCCGCTGACTATTAGTGGTATTGAACACATTTCTACGTGTTCATTGAGATTTGCTCTTTTGTGAATTATCTATTCCTATAATTTGCACATTTTTTTTCGTTACTTTGTTTTATTCTATAGTACAGTCAGTGCTCCATGTGGGGAGCTTTCACATCTATAGATTCAATCAACCATGGATCAAAAATGTAGGGAAAAAATAAAATAACAACAATAAAAATAATACAAATAAAAAAATACAACAATAAAAATAATACAAAAAATTATTAAAAATAATACAAATAAAAACAATACAAATAAAAAAACAACTATTTACATTTATTAGGTATTATAAGTAATTGAGAGATGATTAAAAGTATATAGGAGGATATGAGCATCCTTGAATTTTGACATCCAAGGGGGTCGTGACAACCATGGTTACCAAGGAATACTGTATTTACCTTGTAAGAGTTAATTGTACATTATACAAATTAACCCATTCTTTATCATTGGATTTATATATATTAGAATAATTACTTTTCTTTAAGCTTTTTTTTTTTTTTTTTTTTTGAAGTTCCCTGAGGAGTTGCACTGTTGCTGGAGGTACTACAATATCAGGTTGATGCATGAAGTACATGGAGCACGCATGCTCTTACTCCATCTCCCTGCTCCAAAAATCCATTTAAGATATTGTCCTTGGATAGAGGACGTATCAGATGTTACACTGATAAGAACAATTACTACATTTGATCTTGGCCAAAAGGCTGAGAAGCAATCCTTTTCTTTTTTTAATGATATCTTTTTCTATACAAAAGTTTTAATTTATTTATTTATTCTTTATCAAACCCTCTACATAGGTTTGAAATAGGAAAGCCTCTCTGATTCCTAGACAGTATAGTTTGTAGAGTTTCTTGCAAATCTTTTGGTTTTCCTTGTTGTTAAACATTTCATTGATATGAAATTTATTTTAAAATCTTATTTGGGAAATTAGAGGTTATTCTTCCCTTTCAAATTGTTAGCCAGTTTTGCCAGAACCTTTTACTAAATAGTCTATATGTGATTCACTGAATTACACTTCATATTTATCATATATTAATATCCTATGTGTGTAGACATCTAAATTTTATAATTTATTTCAAAAATTTTGTTTAATACCAAAGCAGTAGTATATTGATTTTATTTCAATGGTTTTGTAACCGTGTCTCAAGTGAAGTTTTACAAAAGGTTTTTAAAGGATCTGTGAGAAATCATGGTTAGAAAACTAATTATTACTTAAGTTTTGAGTGCTTTTCAAAGCTAACGCTGCCAGGAGTGAATATAGACTGAGCGTTCACCATCAGAATTTCTATTATAGGTCTTTCAGCCTTTTAAGGCAGCACACAGATAATGGGTCATCTCATTTGGTTGAATTCATTCTCAGTGTCTGAGAAAAGATAGTGGAGGCCCATATCGATGAGCCTATTGGGAAGAGAGTAGGGCAGTGTGATAATGTCAGTTTCCCCCTAAAAATTACTTTCTATCACCTTCCCTTATGTGCTGCTGAGCAAGCTCCTCCAGAGTAACCAAAAATTGAAGGGAAATTTTGAATTCAAAAAATTTTTTTCCCCATTTTGCTTTGTTGCCCCTTTTTTTTTTTTGTTTTTTTGACTTTGGCCGCTTAGGATTTTTTTGATTTGGATTTGATTTTTTTTTTTTTAAAAAAATAATTTTATCTATTTATTATGCTCTTTTATTTTGTATTAGCCTTTGTGTATTTAAATCACATCTGGCTATTCAGCACAATGATGTTTGGAAATTGTTTAAGACAGGGAAGGAAAAGATTTTTGGCTTATTGCAATTCTGATAGAATAATTATGAAGAATTACAGCTGACAAATGCAGCAAAGACTCCAACAAAAAATTTTTTAGGACACTAATATATAACTCACAACCATTTGACAGAGAAAGCTAGTGGATACTTTAAATGGCTGCTGTATTCTCAAAACACAACAAAGTTTTATTTTTAAAAGTCATGTCAGTCAAAAGCCTCAGGAATCAAGTTATTTAGTGGCCAGAAAAGAAAAAGCTACCCAGCTGTTGAAAAACTGTTATAATAATGTCAGCATGTAAAATGATAGTGAGCAAAATGTTTGGACAAGATGTAGTATGAGAATTGAGATTCTACTCTCAGTACAGTAGGTTGATGTATTGATGACATGTCACATCATGCTAAAGAGGTTTTTTTGTAATACATGAAAAACAACAGTTTCTCTCCAGATTGATGAGTCAATGGATTTTACCAATAAATGTCATGATGTAAGATTTCTAAGTGATAGTGAAATTTAATAAAAAGCTTTTTCTGCTGTAAAGAGTTGGTCACAACAAGCACTGTTAGCATAAATGTAATGTGTTGTCTTCATGTAGGGAAAATAACAATTTAAACTTGTAGTAACTAAGTTGGTATCTGTATGGATGCTGCTCTAACAATGGTTGACTCCATGAGAGATTATACCTTTCTTGTAAAAAAAAAAATCTTAATGTTGTCATAACACAGGCATTTCTTCAGAGAGATGCTCTTATAGATAAACTCATAGATAAAAGTTATCTGTAAGATATCTATAGTTATCTATAAGATAGTTATCTATAAGATATCTATAAGATAGATAAATTTACTTTATTGGAAATATAAAACAGCAAACTCAAAAAGGAAAACAAAGATGTTCCAGGAAGCCTCTCAAGAGAAAGACTCAAACACTAGTTTTAAGTGAACATGGAAGCATCTAGGATCAAGAAGTTAGCACTAAGGTAGCACTCCACCTAGCACAAAGTTAGCCTCACAACGCAGGTCAGTATGGATATAAGCCACAAGACACTTCTCTCTGTACAAAGGAAAGGTGATTCACAACCTCCAAGTGTCTATCTACTATGGGTCTTAGCCAAAAATTCAAGGGTCATGCTGGTAAATAAAGCAAATAATTTCTATTACAATGATTAATGAAAATTAAATCTATCTTCTAGATCTAGATTTGATTTCTATCTCCCTCAAATCTTAATTTCTATAGTATGAAATATGTATTATTGATAGCACCATTTTTT